TTTGAAATCCGATCTTATTTTAATAAAAACATTTCCACATTGTAATTTAGATGCCTTTTTATTATAAATCAAGTTGAATATAATTTTTAGATTTAGATCGATTTTAAATGCAAATAAATTCGATTCGAATTAATGAAAATGGGAATTTCTTATAAATTTAAACAAAAAAAAAACAATAAGTTTAAAATACACCTAGGCCTTTCAGAATAAGTTTTTGAATCTAACTGATCTCTTTCAATGAATTCCATATTCCTAATTAAACAAAACTATTGTTACATTTATACATCTAATCAAGATATCACGCCGTAAAATTGTTCTATATCCGATCTACTCATACGAATAATATTAAAAATCAATAAAGTTAACAGTAATCGTGTGTAATGTCGTTTATTGCCGTTCCATCATAGTCATTACTATAAAACATATGACATGAATTCTAGTATTGTAGGTTTTTTGAGACTACATATGGTAATAGAGGGACACATGGGTCTGATACAAGGTGAAAGAAGATAGTACAAGTTGTACTTGTATTTGTGCATTCTTGATTATTTCACAAAATTCATTCCGAATATAACTAACTAACATGTATTCAACTTCGTTCATGATTCATATCAATCGAATTCATTTCTTGATCTGTACATACCGAATAATAGAAGGATTTTTTGTTTCCCGATATGAATATAAAACACTGGCTAGCTGTTCTCTTTTAAAAAGTAACTTGATCCATGCAGCCAATATTTCAGCTAAGGATAATGTGTTGAACAGTTCTATTAGATCATATTCAGAGCAAGTGAACCAAAGGATAGTTTCATATTCTTTTCAAATTGACATAATACAGTTCTTTTTCCTGAATGCAATGGAATCGGACTGCATCAGAGCGGTCAATAGGCCACATTTTTCGGCTTGACCTGGTCTTTTTGTTATTATGAAATTTACAAAATGGCATGAATCCATTGTATACGTTTCAATTTGTAATCCGACTTGTTTTCATAGGAGCAATAGAATACAGTATGATAATTCTCAAGTAACAGCATTCATGAATCAATTTTAAGATTGGCTTTATCGAAACCTTTAACACATGGATATTGACTTGAGTTCTGAAATGTCCAGGGAATAAAAAAATTAAAAAAATTGCATTTAAATGATTATGGGGTGTGTGGGTAGGGCGTGGGTGTCAGAGTTGATTACTTGATTCCCACACCCACAGCCTGATTGCTAGAAAATGCTCTGATTAGATTCTAAACAAGAATACCTTCAAAAATTGGTTATAGATCTCGGTTCTTGTCCCATGGTAATGACATAGAGGCTCTACTGAACGAAATACTTCAGAGAATCACAAAATCTACACCAGCTTTCTATATTTATTTCAAAATTTGTCAGGAATCTACGTAATAGATTAAGTATCTTATCACTCGATTTCTCACGTTATATTCGTTTCTTTACTGTTATGTCACGATTAAATAAATCTTTCACGCCTTGTTCAAAATATAGATAAATCAAAGGAGAAGATTTTTGATACGAAGTTGACATCCTTTAATGATAGTCATGAATTTCCATGGAAAAGGACATGAATGAAGATCGATATTGAATACTTGACACCAATTAATTCGTTTGTTTTCAATACGAAGTTGTTTATTATCACAATCAAATGTCAATGTCACATCGTCACATATATTCCATCTTCTCTTTCCACAAGAACCAGATCTTTTACCACATTGTACCTGATATCCACTTGACCAAACTCCATACACTGATACCATCTTAGAAACATCGTCTTGCATTGACTCATTAGATGTCATTGTACCAAAGAAACAACTCCATCCTATAAGAGATTTGTAAATGTAACAACAGAGATATAAATATTATCGTTTTTTACAAACTATTTACCTGTTTGATAAACATTTTCAACCGAAAAAGTGACGGAATGTCTACCATTTGAATAAGAATTCGCACCGGAAATACACGAACGTGAATCAATATCATTTATCGCAACAAGATTTTCTTCATAAAGCTTTGATTTTCCAAGAACTTTGTCAAATCGATCGATGTTCACATGGTGATTTATTGTCGTAGCAACACTAAACTAAAAAAATCGTTTCTTCAAACATTGTCAGCCTTTTCAACAGTGTCAAGTAATCTTCAGTACGAAAAGATTTTCTATCATTTTTAACTCACGTCATTGTTTGTTTCGTTTCTCGACCTTTTGACTCTTTGTTCGTTGTTATCTAATGAATGCTTTGCATTTTGTTTAATTTTGATCAATGTGATGGATGATGCTTGTTCATCATCTTCTATCTGAATATTAAATGATGTTTGAATTTGTGAATGAATATTTTCCAGTTGTTCTATCCATTGATTGATGTCGATTTCTGAATAATTATTCAGTTGTCGACTTTTCTTGATTTCTTCTCCTAGGTTTTCCATCAATATTTTCATATGATCTTCTGATTGTTTAATAAACGATCTGAGATCAGCTCTCGCTGTATCAGCTGTCTGTTGAATTTTCACGATCGAATCTTTTTCCCATTGATCAATTTGACGAAAAAGTTGCTGCTGATGATGATGACAACAATCCTCTTGACGATCACCTTTTAGCCGTTCGTAATTTTCTGCGAGAGCATCCATTTGTTTTTCTATATCATTTTGATGATCTTTTAAATGTGTCCAACAAAATGATTGTTGACATCCATAACATGTGACTTGTCTTCCACTTACATCTCCACATGCTATACACATTCTGTTTTGAATATTATTACTGGTCATTCTAAAACGAATCTTGCATAACTAATTAATATTTTGTTACAGTTATCGTCAATAACGTACAGTATTTCTGTACAATATTTTTTTTTCTTCAGAAATGTAGTTGCGTCAACAGAAAAAAATATGAGAATGTGTACAGATGCTCGTAAATAAGTGTCTTTTTATTTAGTTCTGTTTTTGCCTTTTCTTTTCTTTCGTTGAAAAGGTCTTCTTTACGCTCGACTGACAATATTTTTTCTTCAATGATGAAGTAGAAAAGGTAAAAATTTCAAGAGTTCAACTTTTGACACGTTAATTAAAGAAAAAAAATGATAAATCAAGAAATATCTATAGAAATTTCAATTACTTGCCAATAAGTAACACCACATGAAGGAAAATTATCAATCTGAATCCTGATTTTTGTGTACTCAAAAAGTGAGTACACTCTAGAATCGGTCAGTGTGTCCGGCCGGCCGTTAACACGATAACTTTCGAAAGGAGAATCCGATCGCGATGAAATTTTCTACACAGTTCAGACTTAACAATATCTCGGTCGAGTTCGAAGATGAGAAGGATTGGTCGAGCCCTTCCTGAGTTATTGCAAAAATACTCATTTTTCCCTGCACCTTCCCTATGGAAAGATCGACCCATCCCCACTTTCGTAGAAGACTTTTCCTATCATAGTCAACTAAAACCCCAACTATTATATACCATTCGATAGAGAATTTTACGAGCTACAAAATGGTATATAAAACATAAGGAAACAAGAAAGCCAACTCAGTTATTGCAAAGATAATTAATCGGAATTCGGTTCTGTTTTTGTCACGCTCTAATTGATCCACAAATAGAGCTCTATCTTTCGATCACAGAGATGATAGTTCGAGGTTTTCTGGGGTGGAGAACTCGAATCTGTGCTCTATTCGCCTCGAAATCCCATTGGTTGAACAGTAACCAATAGAAATCAAGTTATAGGAAAAACGACTGTCTTAGGGTAAACCAAGGTGAAGAGTTCAAATCTGAGCTGTATTCATCCCAAGGGGGAAACAACTGACTTTATGACTTAAATGATCTAAATGATCCACATGATCTAAAATGATCTAAATGACTTTAAGTCATAAAAGTCAGTTATTTCCCCCTTGAATTATATTCTTATGATTTCAGAGTACAAATTTTGATCAATCAATAA